AACTTAAAAAAAATACCGTACGTAGAGCTGTGTTAAATATTTATTAATAACTAATTTCATAATAAATATTTAATAACTTAAGTGAGTGTTAATTATTGCTAAAAAACTTGGGTATAAATAATTCCTGTTAATCTATTATATATATATATATATATATATATATATATATATATATATATATATATATATAACTCAAATCGTTCAGCAATATATATGTGCCATATTGGGTTAAGTTATGTATAATTATGTAATTATAATAACAGAGATTCTTCTCGCCCAGCTCAGTACTTATTAAAAGAAAATATATTTAATATTTTGAAAAACATAAAAAAAAATCAACTTTTTAATTAATAAGTTATAAGGATAATTGGTTAATAAGATTTTTTATTTTTCTTATAGAATATTTTTCAAGTGACTACCCTTTTTTTTGGTAACAAGTGACTACCCTTTTGTTTTAAAATAATTGTCACTTTAAAATTTCTAATTTATTTAAATTATTTGTTATTTTAAAAAATTAAGAAGATTTTTTTTCAATTTTATCTTTATATTGTAATATTTATATTTAGTGAAATGAAAAATCAGTATTAATAGAATAAGAAGAAGAAAACGGTCAAATAAACTTATATTTTTAAAATTAAGAATATTTAATTTTTTCAATCTCTATATAAAACCTTAAATGATGATATTTTTAAAAGGTGATAGTATATAATATCACAAGGAAAACACAGATACCCCCACCAAGCTATTAATGAGATTCCTGACATGCAATTAAATTGTAGGGATTATTATAAATGAAGCTCATTTCGATGGAGATTAATATTGAAACTTGTAGAAGTTGTAGTTAGTGTGATAACTTTGTCCTTGCATTAATTGCCTCACATGATTCAAAGTTTCTTTTTCATGCCTTTCAAAATAAAACAGCTCTCCTTTCATGGTATGACGGTCTCCTATGCACCTTCCGTTTTTTAATAAAATGTTTACTAAGTTATTCACCCCCTCCCCCCTTAAAAAAAAATGTTAACTTTTCTTATCGTAGGCATATTCAAATTTACATGAAGACAATAGATGAAGATAATATAAATAGAGATAGATTATTTTACTTATCACTTTTCAATATCATTATATTAGAAACTTAAGAAGAGAGAGAAATGATTAAGATTAGTTGAGATTCTAATCTAATGATATTAAAAAGTGATATATAAAATAGACATAAAAATAAATAGAATAACTTATCTCATATAAATATAACAAAACTTTTAAGTAGTGTCTATAACTAAGGCTCCCCATTCTTGTTCAAGATTATGAAGATTGCATCCGATATATATATATATATATATGAGGTAGGATCTTTTGACACTGGTGTCAAATTTTAATTTTGACACCTCATCTGAGAGTCGTTAGATCAAAAAAGATCAATGGTGTCACATGCTTGCAAATCAGAGTCGTTGATTTTTTTGTATCTAACGGCTCTCAGATGAGATGTCAAAATTGAAATTTGACACCGGTATATATATATATATATATAGTTTCAAGTTATATATATCCTTACCAAATGTTATATATATACATAGCTGATAACTAACCTAAAGTAAAATCCATCAAAATGGGACTTAGTTTAATCAAATTCCTTCAATGCATTTGAAGTCGTTAATTAGATTGCAGATTGGGCAACATTTAGAAGTTCAACCCCTCGGAAGGTGAGAAGATCGTACATGGAAGCTGAGACACAGAAACTTGTCGTTTGGTTTCTCCGAAATTGCAAATTTTGAAGACATTAAAATATGAGTGAAAAAACAGACATCTCACCACGTTAGAAGGAAAAACATGAGGTCTCCAACGCGGACATTAAATGAGCATCGTGGTTATGAAGATTCATTTTCGAGATGCATGTTGTTTTCTGCCAATGATATATATAGTGGATGGTTTAAACTTTATCCTTAACGTTGGTAATCTAATCTCACAACGAACTATAGAAAATGCTGAGGGACACTTGTCCAGTCAGTCCCTCAACCGTTGATTTTATGTTTCAAAACTGAAATAATTTTTTTTTTTTGTTTAATTTTTGTTAGAATCTAATGATGAAAGCGCCAAAAGATAAAAGATGCTTTCGTGTCTTAAGGTAAGGGAAATATTAACTATATTTTTTTACACAAAGTAAAGAACCACTTCAATCCAAAATCTTAGAATTTTGCGTAAGGATCTTTTTAATAGTTTATATAATTTTTTAATATATCTTCTCACGCAAAAGCTCTTTGAGATTGAAACCTGGCTATTGGGTGGCAATACGGATCAACCCGACACGACCCGCGTTCGACACATACACTATTCGACACGACCCGTACACGACACGTTTTGTAAATGGGTCAAAAAACACGAACCCGAACACAGCCCGTTGAGGGTCACGAGTCCACACGACACGACCCGCAAAATTTAAAATTTAAAAAAAATTGAGATTTTTTGAAAAAAAATAAATTTAAAACAATAAAAAAACTAGCTACTGTTTTCTGAGAAAATTACAAAAATAAATGAATAAAAATAATAATATATAAATAATAATGACTATATATATCAATATATAAACGAATAAAAATTACAAAAATAACCTTGTACAGGTTGACACGCGACGGGTTGACCCGTGACCCGTCACGAAAAAAATGTGTCACATTTATACAACCCGTACACGACCCGCTCCTACCCATGGGGTGACACGACACACGTTTTGACGGGTCGGGTCACGGGTCAACCCGCGGGCCAATACCTGTATTGCCACCTATTGCATAGGCCTATTTTTTTTTATTTTACCTTATGCTTATTTAATTCAACAAATGAAGGGCGATGAGGATCGAACTCGTGATTATGATCACTGGAAGATGAAGGACTTTTTAATGGTTTATATAATTATCTAACACATACTTTTTTATATAATTTTTGATTCTTACGATGAATTTTATGCGAATTCTACTAAATAGAGAGTGAGTTCAATTTATTTAGTGACATTAATTCACCTAATAAGTATGTATTAAAAACAAAGTATATAAGAGCAATGACCAACCTAATTTTTTTTTACGACGTTGTGAAAATAAAATATTAAAGTTACAAGTATTTTTAATATTTATGGAACGGGTTAACTATTATAAATACATTTTAGAAAAAGATTAACTATTAACATTAATAATTGATAATTGATAATTAATAAAAATATTATTTTATATATATAATAATATATAAAAAATAAAAATTCAAGGAGGAACGATCGTCTATCATTGCCTCTCCCCTAGGTCGCCCCTGTATAGGAGTGTGTTGCTAATATTTCCGTCACTACTAATTAGAAGGACATGTTGCACCATTAAAAAACTTTTTTTCATTATTATAAAAAAGGTAATGAAGTTCTCGTGTTGCATAAGAGGAGGATAAATTTCTACTCACCCATCGATCCACGTGCTTCTACTTTTTTGATTTATTTTTTCTCTCTCATAATACATCTCACTTTAATTGAGTGTGCATAAAAAAAGTTTTTGATTCCTATCACATAAGAAATATAAAGTCCTATAAAAAATGCACATAATATTATTGTAAACACAATGATTATAAAAATTGTTGAAAATAATATGAAAAAGGATATGAAAATACGAACTATATATATTGACCACAATATTTTAAACCTATGTCATGGATTTTTTTTTTAATTCATGTTAAAATATATTTTTGTATAAATGAGAGTAAAGTGAAAAATGGCTCAACTTTTACATTCATCAGTCCCTTGTTCTCCAGTTTTAAAGCATTTATTGCAAAACCATGTTAAAAAAAACAAAAAAAATTAAAGACAACGGCTTGGAGGTGCGCGCGTGTCTAGAGAGAGAGAGAATACTTTTTACCTTTGAAAAAGCAAAATTTTGGTAAAACAGTAGCTTAATGCATAATTTACAAGGAGCCATGTATATGAGTGACTGCAAAATTCTTTATTGAAATTATGCTAGCCCAATCGAAGTATTGGGTTCATTGAGCCCATTGTAATAGAAATTAGGCTTCCCAAAACCTTAGTGCAAGTACAAATCCAAAGCCCAACAGATCTTATGGCCCAAAAAAATTATGGTCGTATTCTAAATAAAATTATAAATGAAGAAAGTACTTATACAATTTCAAAATGAACAACCTTATTTTTGTCCAAAATAGATTCACTTTACTTATTTAGCAATAATTTTTGTATCTGCTCAATTGTCTTTATTACCTTGGTATTGAATGAAAATCATGAGAGTAGTTCCAAAAATTATAAACGAAACAAAATTGTTTTGATTAAAAATAGCAAAATGTGTAAATTTAAATATAGAATAGCAAGAAATAAGAATCTGCCATAAGCAAACATTCAAAGGTAACTATGGTGTACACCACTTGTTCAAGTGCTAAAGAATTTATTCTCTTTAACTAAGGATGAACATGACAACCATTCTATTCCTTAGCACTGTTTCTAAAAAAAAAAAAAAAAATTTCTATTTGTGCCTTGGAACAATTTCAGAGTAAAAAATGTGTTTGATAACATGTTATATTTTTATTCTGAGAATGAGAATTGTGTTTGATAACACAACAAATAATATAATAAAAATTAATTCCTGTTAAATATAAAAAAAATTCGGATCATCACTTTCCTTTCCATATGGTGTACCTAAGGGTTCCTCCGCAAGGTTCGTCCACGAGTGATTGTGGTGGTGGTGGTGGCGGCGGTACGATAGTGGTGGTGGCAATGACGTGGTGATGATAGTGGTGGTGGTTGTGACGGCAGTAGCTATAGCGATGGTGGTGGTAATAGCGACGGAAGTTGTGGTAGTGGTGGGGATAGAGGCGACGACAGTGGCTGCGACAATGGTGATGGGGATGGTGGTTGGTGGCAGTTAGTGGCGGTTATGGCGATGACAATGGTAGCGGTGGCATGGTGGTGGTGGCAGTGGTGGTAGGTGACGGTGGCGGTGGTGGTAGTGACGGTAGTGGCTGTGACGATGGTGGTGATGGTTGGTGGCGGCGGTGGCGGCGGTGACGGTAGTGACAATGTTGCGCTCAAGGGTCTTGCCAAGTAATTATGATTTGGTTTATCTTTGGGTTATGTTGTTTGTTTTGGTTTACCTTGTTAGGAGTGGTTAATGATTGTGATGATTACAGGTTTTCCAAGGAGTCAAGTGAGGAGGAAAGGGAGCATGCTGAGAAATTAATGGAATATCAGGTATAAGTTACGGTTTCCAATCGCCGAGAATATGTTGTTTTAATTAAAGATGCAAGCTTTCAGTCTTGTCTTCGGCAAAAGCGATATTGGATTACTTTTCTATGTATCTTTCAGAACAAACGAGGTGGAAAAGTGAAGTTGCAGTCTATAGTGATGCCACTTTCTGAGTTTGATCATGTGGAAAAAGGAGATACGCTATGTGGTTAGTTTGTCTGGCTTCTCCCTGTATCTTAATTTTTTTCACGTGTTTTACAATTGATTGTAAAACTTGTCTCTTTTGCTGCATTGTTGAGCATTTATTTTAGTTGGATGTGTGTTTTAGTTTCTTGGTGAAATACATTTCTCCACATCCAAGAATTTTGTGATTTTGAAGATATGGATTGAGCCTTAAAATTTTACAATTTGAAAACATTTTAAGAACATGCATAACAAATATATAGCAAAGGCCGAAATGAACTCCTCAATTGCCTGACTTCTATTGCATGTTTTTTTGTATCTTATTCCTTTTGATGCTCCCTAATCTTGAGAACGATCTCCCACATGAAATATTCTATAAAAAAATAATGAATTGTGATTGCTTATTACATTTATCTTGTTGATATGCATATGATTAATTAATTATGTTTGCAAGTACGTAATTTCTTACCAAAATGTTGCATTCAATTAAAGAATTATGTAACACATGATGTTAAAAGGTTTAGCTTTGCCCCATGAACTTCCCCAGTGAATTTTGTATATTTGTCACTAAATGTATTTTTTGTTGTTGCTTGTTACAGCGATGGAACTTGCTCTGTCATTGGAGAAGCTAACGAATGAGAAGCTCCTTGACTTGCAATGTGTAAGATAAGTTTGTTTGTTCTTAGTTTTATATTTACTTCGATTATGTTAAAATGACTTGAAAAAGGGTATTCTAATATATTATAGAATTGTAAATAATATGTACAAAGGGTTCTCTATTTATAGAGAATACTTGACCTAATTTTAACCTAATGGGCTTGGCCCAATACAACAAATAAATCACTAAATAATAACTAAATAATTATTATTTACAACACTCCCCCTCAAGCTGAGGAATAGATATTTATCATTCCCAGCTTGCTAGTAAGTTCTTGAAATCTGTCTGAAGGAAGCCCCTTTGTTAATAGATCAGCTAATTGACGCCCAGTGGGAATGTATGGAGTGGTAATCAACCCGCTATCAAGTTTCTCTTTGATGAAATGGCGGTCAACCTCAATATGTTTAGTCCGATCATGTTGGACTGGATTATGAGCTATACAAATAGTGGACTTATTATCACACAGCAGCTTCATAGGTCCCTCACATTTTATTTTGAGATCATCAAGTACAATTTTCAGCCACAGTAACTCACAAATGCCTTGAGCCATAGCTCGAAATTCAGCTTCTGCACTTGATCTGGCAACCACATCTTGTTTCTTACTTCTCCATGTCACCAAGTTACCGCAAAGAAACATGCAATAACCAGTGGTAGAACGACGGTCAGTCACGGATCCAGCATAATCAACATCTGTGTAGACTTCTAAAGACAGATTGCCATCACGTCAGAATAACAATCCTTTACCATGAGTACCTTTAAGATACTGAAGAATTCTCTCTACTGCCTGCATGTGTTTTTCTTTTGGATCGTGCATAAACTGACTGACAACACTAACAACATAAGCTAGGTCTGGTCTAGTATGGGCCAGATTTATCAATTTCCCAACTAGCCGTTGATATTGTCCTTTATCAACTGGAGGACTCTCTTCTTCATAGCCCATCTTGTGATTCTGCTCAATATGAGTATTAGAGGGTTTACACCCAAGCTTTCCTGCTTCTTTGAGAAGATCAAGAACATATTTCCTCTGGCTGATAAAAATTTCTTTGCTTGAATGAGCTACTTCTATCCCTAGAAAATATCTCAGTTTCCCAAGGTCTTTGATTTCAAACTCAGAGGCAAGCCGTGTTTGCAGAATCTGTCTCTCCACAAAATCATCACCTGTGATAATAATATCATCAACATATACAAGGAGCACAGTAAGCTTCCCATTTTGGGAGTGCTTGAAGAAAAGAGTGTGATCTCATTGGCTCTGTCTGTATCTTAAGGTCATCATAACCTTAGTAAATCTTCCAAACCAAGCACGAGGTGACTGCTTCAATCCATACAAGGCCTTTTCTAATCTACAAACTTTATTTTCCCCTTTCACAGAATCAAAACCAGGCGGGATTTCCATGTAGACTTCTTCTTCTAACTCACCATTGAGGAAAGCATTTTTCACATCAAATTGATTTATATCCCAATTGTAATGGGCAGCAAGGGATAACAAGATTCTCACTGTATTCATCTTCCCAACTGGAGCAGAGGTTTCTTCATAATCAATGCCATAGGTTTGATTGTAACCTTTGGCCACTAATCGAGCTTTATATCTCTCAAGAGTGCCATCAGAATTATATTTCAGGGCATAAACCCATCTGCACCCTACTGTTTTCTTTCCGTTGGGTCTATCAATAACCTCCCATGTTTTATTTTTCTCCAAAGCATTCATTTCCTCTTGCATGGCTTGAGCCCAATTCCTATCTTTCAAGGCTTCATGTACTGATTTTGGGATTGCAATAGAATCTAGTGCTGAAACAAAGCTTTTGTGCTGCACAGAAAGATTAGCAGAGGAAACAAAGTGGGAGATAGGGTATTGAGTACAAGAGGGACAGGAGGAACAAGTTTTCTTGTGACAAGATCTTTTTCCTTTTCTAAGAGCAATAGGTAAGTCATCAGAAGTAGAAGCAATGGGTAAGTCATTAGAGATATCAGAATAAATAGACAAATCATGAGAGGAAATAATATTAGAATCAGAAACAGGAGATTCAGGAGACTCAGAAGAAATAGGAGATTCAGGACTTACCAGTGGTTCAGACGATTGAGGTTGCTGGTGAGACAGTATGGGTTGTATCTCAGGTGTATTTGAAGGTTCTGACATACCAGGAGCAGACACACTAGGAAGAGAGAAGATTGATCCAGACTCAAAGAAGGAAGGGGACGAGTCTTCTGAAGAACTATTCTCCCCCTGACGAAGAGGACCCATGAAATAAGATTCAGATTCTTGAAAGGTGACATCCATAGAAACAAAAAATTTTCGACTTGGTGGATGAGAACACTTGTACCCTTTTTTATAAGGGTTATAACCAAGGAAGACACACTTAAGAGCCCTAGGATCTAACTTACTCCGATGTTGTTTATGAACATGGACAAAGGCAACACATCCAAACACTCTTGGTGGAAGGCTCTGCAATATGGGAACAGAAGGAAAGAAGGAAGTCATGGAATGAATAGGACTGATATTGTTAAGGACCCGTGAAGGTAAACGGTTGATCAAAAAAGTTGCAGCTAATACTGCTTCTCCCCAATAAGAACTAGGAACAGATGTCTGGAAAAGTAGTGCTCTAGCAACTTCAAGAAGGTGACGATTTTTCCTTTCAGCAACCCCGTTTTGTTGAGGGGTATCATCACATGTGAGCTCATGAATCATACCTATGTCTGAAATGAATTGTGACAGGCGTTGATTGACGTACTCAGTACCATTATCAGATCTGAGTCTTTTAATACCCTTACCAAACTGAGTCTCAACCATGTGATGAAACCGAATAAATATCTCTGGTACTTCAGACTTGTCTTTCATCAAGTATATCCATGTTATCCGAGTACAATCGTCAATAAAAGAAACAAACCACCTTGCATCTGAAACACTGTGCACTTTAGAAGGGCCCCAAACATCAGAATGGATAAGAGAAAAAGGTTCCCTGCTTTTAATAGTGCTAGAAGGAAATGACACTCGATGGTGTTTTGCAAATTCACAAACATCACAATGAAAGGTCTCAACCGACTTATTGAGAAACAGAGAGGGGAACATAGACTTCAAAAGACTAAATGGTGGATGCCCCAGACGCTTGTGATGGAGCCAAATCATAGACTCTGCAGTTGAAGGATGACGTGTCATTAATAACTGATTTTTGCTAGCATGGTCTGGAAGAAGATGATACAACCCATCCTATTCATTAGCAACTCCAATTGTCTTCATCGTGGTAAGATCCTGAATAAGACAATGAGAAGGAAAAAATGTGATAGAACAATTCAAATCAGTTGTAAGTTTTTGAGTGGAGATAAGATTAGTAGAAAGCTGAGGAACATAAAGAACATTTTTAAGAAACAAGGAAGGTTGAATTTGAATGTTACCAGAACCAATAACTGATTTATGGGATCCATCAGCTACAGATATAGTATGACTACCAACAGTAGGATGATAAGAACAAAACAACTCAGTACGACAAGCCATATGATCAGTTGCACCAGAATCCAAAATCCATGAGGTTTTAAAATCAGTGCAAGAAGCAAGAAGAGATATAGAACGTGTGCTCTTACCAGATAAGATCGAAGAACTATCATGCTCGGTCATTCTTTAACAAAAAAAGTTAACAACCAGCGATAAAATCAACCAAACAGAATATCAAATGACCTCTGATCAGAAAAATAATTATAGATCCAGACAGAAGACAAGAAGACGAGAAGAATGGTGGTGGTCCGGTCCAAAAACACGGCCGCACGCGCCGGAGAAAGGAGCTGCGCGTGGGATTCACTCGCCGGGAAAGGGACGACGCGTGAGAGCGCGTGGAGGGGCTTCGCCGGCTGAGATTTTTCTGGTGTGGTCGTCCGGTGAGCGCGCACCTGTCTGTGGGTGGTCGCGGTTGAAAAGTCGCCGGAAAGTGGTCCAAACGGTAAAGACAGATCTGATTGGAGGCGGTCGGAGGTGTTTCGGTCGTTTGTGGCGGAGGAACAGTGCGTAGAATGATAGATCGGAGGAAAAATAAGGTCAACAATGGTCCCCTTGGTCCAAAAGGTCCCCGGAAAAATTTTCCGGTGGCGGCAAGAGGCAAAGAAATTAGGGTTTTGTTATAAAAGAAGATAATATGTGTGGAAGCAAAGCCCTCAGATCGAGAGCTCTGATACCAACTTGAAAAAGGGTATTCTAATATATTATAGAATTGTAAATAATCTGTACAAAGGGTTCTCTATTTATAGAGAATACTTGACCTAATTTTAACCTAATGGGCTTGGCCCAATACAACAAATAAATCACTAAATAATAACTAAATAATTATTATTTACAAAACAAAATGGAAACTTTTATTTCTTTGAACGTGTTGCATGTTGTTTCACAGGTTGCCTCAAAGAACAATGATGTGCAATTGGCAGATTTTGTTGAAAGCGAGTTTTTGGGTGAACAGGTATTTAGTAATTTGGTTTTGCAATTAAGGAAACTTTTTTCTTATAGGTCACAGGCAGAAAAAGTGTTGCATGCAACTTGCAAAAGAATCATTTATCAATAAAAAAAAAGTTATTTATTTATTTTATTTTTGGGGTAGGTGTAAGATTTACAAATCCAAGATCATGTATATGATTATAAAATATCCAAATAGTATGAAATCAAAATAAGGATTGGGCGTACCTTGTTGAGTTATCACAAAGCCGGAGGAAAGGGGAACTACATGCTAGGATCTTCCTCTCTATGACCTATTTCGAAAGTGGCAGCCTCAGCGATGGAAGCATGACGGGCTCATGGGGCTTAACCCCAATATAAATAGGCTAGAGAGGGAACCTAGCAAAATCTTAATCAACAGTGTGTCTGATGGGTCCACCCATCACGGAAGCCCAATCAGACATTAATGCCTACACTGTGCTGCCCAACTAGGCCCAATATCAAAAGATGCCAAGAGCCCAACTCAACATGATCACAATGGGCTTATCACAATAGATTAAATTGAAATATCCATTAACACGATTATTTTAGAAAATACAAAAACATTAATTGATATTGCCCACATATAAAAATTTTAACATTCTCCCACTTGGGCTATATTAATTAATTTAATTTATTTTAAAATACTTTTATTTGAAAACGACTCTATCAGGTTAATAACAAGGACAAAAACATTTTATGTGGCCACGATTTTGAAAAACAATATTCCAATTTCGATACCAACATCTCAACACAATTCAATCCAACATAACCCCATCATAGGAATATGGCGATCAATATACTGAAAATATCATAGTATATGACCTTCCATACTCACATCAGATACAATGAGTATTACATCTTCATGAATCAAGGCCTAACAGTGTAGTAAGAATTAGTGCCAAAATATGATCAACAATGTAACACATTAATTCTTATCGGTCCTCATTAGTGCAATTTCCAAGCAACATGAAATTACACTCCATAATGCAATTTCTCAACAACATGAAATTAAATTACCGCAATTTTCAAACAATATGAAATTGCCTTTTTCAATCCAATTTCTTAGCAACATGAAATTGAATTACCGCAATTTCCAAACAACATAAAATAGCCTTTTTCAATCCAATTTCTTAACAACATGAAATTGAATTAACGCAATTTCGAAACAACATGAAATTGCTTAGTTTAAATAAACCAACATGTCACAATAAAACATGAGATCTCAAAATTTGTGACATCCAATTATCTTTATGCTCACAACATGCTTAAAAATACTATTCATACATATATTTCTCAGTCGACAGGAGAAATAACAATAATGATGATCATCAATTATTAAAATTCAAACAAAAGTCACAAAAATATCATCAGTTTGCATGACCAAAAAATCAAACTGAATATATCTCCCACAGATCAAGGGAATCAAAAGAATTTAAAACACTTAAAAGAAAACCTCGAGTACAACTCCCACTAATTAAGGAAATCAAAAGAATTTAAAGTACTCATGTAAACAAAGGAGGCTACTTCAAGGTATTTCCTACAAAAGCTTTTATTTCATTTAGTAAATCATCATCTTACTGAAAAATAAAATGTCATCTGCATAAAGTACTAAGAATATACATCTACTCCCACTTGCTTTCATGTAGATGCACTTGTCAAATATATTTGAATTAATTCAAAGGAATTAAAAAATTCATTGTTAAAGCAAAACAAATGCTTCCAAATTAACTATAGGGCAAAATACAACCTCAATTAAGGCAAGTCATTACAACGAGGCCAACAAAATATTACATTCCCCTTTGGGCAAAATGAACATACCAAGGTTTAAACCAAGGTTAAATCCTCAGATCAATTGATGAGTATACACTAGCTTCAGAGATCTGTCCCCTTTGGGCAGACAGATCACCTAGACCAATGCACCCCCAATAATTTTATTACAGACAAGCTTCTAATTAAAACACACAATAACCCCCTTTGGACAGGAAATTGCATAAAATAACCAAAAGCATTTCGCAAATTTATAAAAATTTTACAAGACAAATAATTCAATCCAACTTTTGTGGTAATACTATAGCAATTTGTAGAAACTCTTACAAATCTTGCCCAAAAATCATGATGCATTCCACAAGGAGTGGTAACACCTTCACTGATCATGAATTCAAAAACAATAGCATTCTTAAAAAGGTTTTACACTTAAACAACTCAAGTGGAAGCATATAACTCAATAAATAAAATATTCTATAAATTATACATCTCAATTTCTTATAACAACTCAACAATAGCATGTTGTTGTTGATGGCAAAAGAAAATAACTGATTGACATACACAATGCAATAACATTAAATTTGGGCAACAACAAAATAATTTATGTACCATAAACCCCCCTTGGGGCAAGGAATATAATATACAAATATTTTCTATCACATGATGATTTGAACAACAAGGAGAATTACATACAATTATAAAAATTCATCCCCTTTGGGCAGACAAACTTTTAAATTATATATTTTTTCCCATAATACCACATGCAATTTAAAAATAATTTATCCCCTTTGAGAAGATAAATATTTTTAAATTACGTAATCTTTTCAATAATTTCTTCATGGAATTTCCCAAATTATTATACGTAATAACCCCCTTTGGGCAGGTAATTAACATATAACAATTCAAAATAACATATCAATAATAATGCTCAACAACATGAAACACTTAACAACATGTGTTTCTAACAACATGAAACACTTCACAATATGTGTTTCCAAAAATTATATTGCATTTGTCAATCCAACAAATTTTGCCACAACAAATCATACAAGAATTTTTATTATATTTGTATGATGAATTACAACTAATGTTACACCATTCCTGTGATCCAAAGACTCTCAATATATAATTAAAATAATTAAAGGTATTGAGGCTAATCCCTAATTAAATTAAATTATATGAGTCACTTGACATTAATTTCCAAACCCAAATTAAACCATAGGCAATAATACCAAATATACAAATTATTTATCTCAATATTGTATGTATAAGAAAACTTTAATTAATACATACAATCAAATCATTATAATACATATGCCTCTCTGTTTTGTAGCTATTATTGCCTTATGCAAGATATAAAAAAGCGTATAATGTGGAGAGATAAATATTATACAATACAAAAACAAGCATATCTATCAACATGAAGAGGAAAGAAATATCAATGGATGGATCCGTGCAATGATAGATAATTATAATGCCATTACCTAAAATACAACTTAATTTGAAGCCATCCCAAAGAAAGTTTGCATTGTAAAGGCATTTCTTCTTCCCATCACTGGTAGCATTGCGAGTTGAATTTAGCCGGTCCATGCAGTCCAACAATGATGAACAAATCGGCTCTAATGGAAGCTCCCAACTTAATTCTATTTCTACTCCTTGTTTCAGGGGAGCATTAAAGGCATTTTAACCATTTTGCTCCTAATTAATTATTTAATAATTATTTTAGCCAAAAATTTAATCGATTAAATGATCGAATGAAAATTTAGTCGATTAAAACTTCAACTTAATCGACTAACTCTACCTCTTTATCAGAAGAACAACCTTGTGTATGGGAGATTTAGTCGATTAAATAGGGAGATTTAATCGACTAAATCTTCATTCGATCATTTAGTCGATTAAATTTTTGGCTTAGTCGATTAAAGAGGGGCAGATTGGTTGATAGTTTCCAATCAGGGGCAAAATGGTTATTAAATAATTAATTATGGGCAAAATGGTTAAAAAGCCGAGCATTAGAACTAAACGTGGTTGGATCAGCATGGCAATGGCCAACAAGAATTCTATCAGCCACCCAATGGGTGCAGCTCAGTTGGTAACTTGGCGCTGAGTTAGTGGGGTTGGATATGTGTTCGATTCCCGCTGAATACATTCTTGGGTAGGGGGCTGAACCTTTAGCCATCACTGTTCCCCCGCACTCCGGATTAGTCCCATAGCCGGCTCAAAGAGTCGAAGCTCGTGGGGATACCGGAGGGAGCCAACTCGTCTCAAAGAGATAATTAGGGTTGGGTAACTCCAAAAATAAAATAAAAAATCTATCAGCCGAGAATAATTCTGTAATATTCCAGCCACAAAAGAAACAATAACCGTGTGATGTCTATCATATTCTTTTTTTATTTTTTTAATGTCCGTGATTGTATGCCCACTACTATTTGTATATGAAGCTCTCTTAGATGATTGCAATATTGATTTCTTCATGGGCTTTTTATGCACCATTATTTTTCCAAAACAAAAAGAAGGAAATGAAGGTATGATTATTAGATGGTATGAATTTGAAGTTAACAAAGCATGAATTGAAGAATTAATTTTCTATGCTATGTTCTTCTGATTGAGTATTTGGCTTTACAAATATAATTTGCTGAATCATATGGAGCAAGAGTTTGAGGCCACAACACTGTACTTGAGATGTAAGATACCAAATAGGATTAGATTCAATTTAGCCGCAGCTAACATCAGTTTATCTTTCTCCCTTGTTTTTCTAGTTTAGCTCTTTCGCTTGATTAAAAAACAAAAAATTTCATGCATGCTGCATATATATAACACCTCTGGAGTTTACGAAAATAACATCTTTGATTGACCCTTGGTCTCTGTCATAAGGAATATAAATTTTACATGAAAATCTTTTGGGAAGACAGTTTAAGTTGCATGTATCTTTCTTGCTTAAAGTACTTGATTGTAGGCTTTTCTGGATATGAAAATTGGCCATTTGGCCTAGGATAATTTTTTTAATTGTTTCAGTTGATTACTAGTTAGGGACAAGTGCACCAACGAATTTTTTGCTGTCAAGTTCATTGAGAGAGGCAACCAATTGCTAAATGTTCATTGGATGTTTGTCATTAAATGCTTTTCTTCAAATTTTTGATTTAAATAAAAAATGACATCTAACATTATGTGAAAAACAAATTATAAAAATTTAAAACGCTGTAAAAATGAATGATCATTAAGTGACCATCCAACTCCTACATTGAAAAAGATATTTGTCATTAAATATTGTACAGGCTAATTTATTGTTTGCCACAACTTTTTGCATGAAACTTTTTTAAGCCTATTAATAGTATTTATTATTATGTCTATTGGATGGAAAAATATATAATATTTTAAACTCAAATATTTTAAATTTGAATTTTGAACTTGATAGGTAAGAAAAGAGCTCATCATTTAATATCTCTGTTGTAGGAAAAAATATGCATATATATAGTAAATTTAAATTTAATATATGTAGAGTTGATCAAAAATAATTGAAATTTGAAATTTAACTGCAAAAAAATAAGACATGACATATTTATACTTTAAAAGAAAATAAATTAAAATTTTAAAATAAAAAATAATACAAAAAGAGAAAAAAAATCCGTACAAGTATTATTTTAAAAAAATTTAAACATAAACATTTTAAATATATATGTATAATCAATATAAAATTATAAATTAAAAGATAAAACATTAATTTTTCAAAAAATATGAATAATTAATACAAAAGAATTATGTATAAAAAAACAAAAAAAACTTAAACTCTTAATTTAAATAAAAAACTAATATCTATCATTCTCTAAAAAATAATATATAAAGAAAAAAAATTGATCTTTTTCACCCGTGCCTTGTCGGACGGGTAATGCACTAATTATATAAACTTATTAATTAATATACCGGTTCAAGTACCGGTTGAATCAGAATCCGCTCACCTTTCCGGTTTCCGGTCCAACCAGTTAAAGCACAAAGCGTGTGAGTGTTTTTAGCTTTCGGTGGTTCGAATTTGGAAGTTGAAGAAGCTGGAAGCTGGTTTTGCAGAGTGCAATCGCTGAGAGAATGAAGAAGGTTATGGCTTTTGTGCTGCTAATGTTCCTTTCAGTGTTAAACTACTCAAACGCCGAAGAAGCTTTCGATGTTCGCAAACATCTCTCCACTGTTTCCAGGTCTCTCTTTCAATTCTCCCAACACAAATGAAATCTCTTTTTCCTTTTGTTTGTGTTTTCCATTTCCGCAGTTTATTTTGCAACGTTTCTGATTTTTGTTTGATCTTTAATTCAGCAAATCGAAAATTTGTTTTTGGCATATTTTGGATAGCATGTTCGCAAACATTTTTTTACGTTTTCTTTTTTAATATTTTGGTTTTTTATTGAAGAATTCGCTTAACTTGTTATGATATAATCTTCTTGTCGGTTAATTATTGATCTTATCAATTTTAACATGCTGAGATTGATTAAGTTGTCCTTCTTATTGTTCTCTGCAGATATGGTGTTGTGAAAGACATTGCTGACAATAACTTTATACCTTCTAATATTCCTGAAGGATGTGTTCCAATCCATTTAAATCTTGTGGTAATTTTCTCTACAATGTGAGGATAATGGTTTCATTTCGTTAATTATGAAGGATGTTTTGCGAGACACTTTAATTTTTAGTTGTAATTTTAAAAAGCAACTCTTATATTTTATGTTGTTATGGTGTTTGCACAAGAAATGAAGGACGTTGTTGAATGGAGGGTTAATATTTTCTAAAATGTCCTGCTTGTTATTGTTCATAGTTTTGAACTGTCTGGCAAATACTTCTTGACGAAATGTAGAAGCATGATAATGCTACTTTGCGTTCCCAGGCAAGGCATGGAACTCGTTCTCCTACAAAGAAAAGGATAAGGGAGTTAGATAATTTGTCAGATCATCTGGAAGTTCTTATAAGGGATGCAAAAGAGCGAAATTTTCCTTTGGAAAGAGTTCCTTCCTGGATGAATGGATGGAAATCTCCTTGGCAAGGAAGACTTAAGGGTGGTGAGTTAATTAGCAAAGGAGAGGAAGAATTATATGCTCTTGGAATTAGGATTAGAGAGAAGTTTCCAAATTTGTTTGATGAGGAATACCACCCGGACGTATATCCTATAAAGGCAACTCAGGTGAGTTTATCTTCAATTTCCTTTTCTTTGTCTAGGTAGATTTCAGTGTTTTAAAATTTTTTGTTTACCTCGATTTATACCAATAGTTGTGGGGTTCGTCAGGAAACATTGGTTTCCAGGGCAAAGAAAAAATATTTATGTCTGTTGTTTTGAGTTGATGAGTGAATGCTGAGATGTGATGATGATTAGTTGCAGTGCCACTTCAGCATAAGAAATGGATTTTCTTTTTTATGTTTGGAAGCTTCAAATATGTATAACTTATGCATCTCTCTTCTGCTGCAAATAGGTTCCCCGAGCGTCAGCTAGTGCCGTGGCATTTGGAATGGGGCTTTTCAGTGGCAATGGAAGTCTTGGACCTGGTCATCATCGAGCTTTTGCAGTTACAAGTGAAAGCCGTGCTAGTGACATCCTGCTGAGATTTTTTGATTGTTGTCATAACTACAAGGTATGTTCTAGCCATAATTGATTTCTCAGGAGGACTTTTCATGTAACCCTTACTTGTGGATCTGACACTATTTCATGTAATCATAGACCTCATAGTTAACCAATTTCATAAATTTTAATGTCTGTTTTTAAATATGCTTGTCATACATTATATAGAATGACCCAAACCATGTGTCACCCGACCATGTTTCTTTGTCTGCCCCTTTATTGATAAATTTGTTTCTGTATTGCTCGAATGGTACTTAGTATTCAATTTTGTCCTGCTACTTTTTTTATGGAACTTAACATATTTTAAATGAATTAAAATTACCATATTTTCCTCATTTAAAGGCTATCATAGGTTCAATATAAAAGTTGTTTTGTGTTTTTTAAGAGGCTACCTGAAGTAAATGATAGGCAGCATACTTAGTTACTTATTGCTAAATGTTTGAGCATGACTGTATGGTTAATTGGACATTTTGTGATCTTTATTGTTCTTAAAGGTATTGTTTGGGCTTTTATTTTCCCTACCCTTTTTTATGTCTGGTTATGCAATTTCTTGAGTTATGGATGCAGGATTTCAGGAAAAGACAAGAACCTGCAGTTGATAGGCTTAAGGAACCTATCTTGGATGAGATTACATCTACCCTAGTTGGGCGCTATGGGCTAAATTTTACTAGGCAGGATACATCTTCTCTCTGGTTTTTGTGTAAACAGGTGATTACATTTCTTTATTCTCAGCTCCTTTTGGTTTTCGCTATGTTCTTTTTTTGTTCACATATTATTTATTGATGCCGTGGAGATTGATTATTTTCTTTTCTTTCTTTTCAATTGCCCAATTTGTGGTTATTTGGACAGGAAGCATCCTTGTTGGATATAACTAATCAAGCATGTAGTCTATTCAGTCCTTCTGAGGTACGTTTGTAATCATGATGTTGTGATGTAATCAGTGATCTAATGGTCATCATTTTCCTCTTTCCTTGTCTGTAAATATTTAAATAGAGAAAATAAAATTTATAAAGATGTCAGGAAATTATTTAATGTATACCTTATGATATAAGAAAGCCAAGTTTTGAATCTTTGATATGATGTTTCTATATATACTTCCCATTAAACCTTGACTAGTGAGGGTAGGGATGAGGGCAATCTATAAAATGTCATTTATTTGTTGTAATAAAACTGAAAACTCCATGTAGGAAGTGCTTCTGTTAATTGGCTGCCAAGAAACAGAAGTAGAAAAAGGAATATGTTGATGCTCCTAATGAGTGCCCAGAAAGTTACTATTGTTGAACGGGCACAATATTAATTTAGCCTTCCCATTTGTAATCAAGATACATGTTAGCTTATGGCTGCATTTTTTTACAATGCTATTGCATTCTGCATGCTTATTAAAGTGCTAATTTCTGTGTACATAGATTACATTGCTGGAGTGGACAGATGACTTGGAGGTGTATATTCTGAAGGGTTATGGTCAATCACTAAACTACAGAATGGGAATGCCATTACTTGAAGATGTTATTCAATCCATGGAACAAGCTATTAAGGCTGAAAAAGGTACTTCAGATTTTGTACTTTTAAGTGTGTACTATATATCTTTGTCTTGCATGCCATATCCTTTCAACGAAACTTATATGGATTAGCATTTTCTGGTAAATTTTATATTAAAGTTGTCTTGTTTAACAATACCTTAAAGCATGGGCTGCAGTGCAAGCGCTATCTAGCATATTTATACAGTATTGTCTGTCAAACACTGACATTTATTTCCATATCTTGTGCAATAATAGACTGGATTGAACTCTAATACCCATGCTGATTTTTGAAATATTTTATATATATATATACACACACACACGGTCACACACACAAACACCTTTCTCAATGTATAGTTAATGCAAAATTAGCAAGGAGAATTATTATCACTTCACAAATAATTGCTTCTCCTTTTGAAAGCTGTCTCTTGAATATGTGAACCTTTGGCTCATTTCCACTTTCCTGCTTGCTTCTGTAGAAAGACATGCTCCTGGCAGCTTTGAGAAGGCAAGACTTCGATTTGCACATGCTGAAACCGTAGTTCCATTCTCATGTCTGCTTGGTTTATTTCTTGAAGGATCTGGTGAGGCTTTTATAATCTACGCTTGAATAAATATGAACAGAATTACGACTTCTTTTGTTGTGGTTTTACTCCTAATGAGTGGTGACAGAGTATGCTTATCGGTGTTCACTTTTGATAATGTACAGAGTTTCAAAAAATTCAGGAGGAACAATCTTTGCAGCTCCCTCCAAAGCCTCCACAGAAAAGAAAATGGCGGGGTAGCACTGTGGCTCCTTTTGCTGTTAACAACATGCTGGTCTTGTATAGTTGTCCTTCTTCAGACAAATCCTCAAGCAAGCACTTTGTGCAAGTGCTGCACAATGAACACCCCACTCCAATGCCTGTAAGCTTTTTGCCTTTCATGTGAAGATTATGTAAATTAATTTGTTGTCTTAATTTTACCAATGGTTAAGATGCGAATAGCTGAATATGATTCAGGGGTTGTAGGATTTCACTGCTGATTGTTTAAAATCGTATTATGCTGTTGTGCATGAACCTCACAATTTTTTTGTACTGTTGTGTACAGGGTTGTGATGGTTCTGATTTCTGTCGATTTGAAGAATTCAAGGTTTTAGTAGATACGTCCACTCTAATGCTCACGATGATTAATATGCAATCTTAGTTATGGTATCTTGTTTTTTTTTCTACTATTCTTATTTCTGAGTTTTCGTCACAGGAAAAAATAGTTGCACCTCATCGGAAGCATGACTACGATACAGTCTGTAATGCAAATCCAGAGCAGAAGCCCTCGAGTAGCAAATTCTTTCAAATATTTCAGTGGCTTTCGTCACTAGGGAAAGGTGATAAGCACCCCAAAGATGAATTTTAATTTGTTTCCTGGGAAAGGAGCCTCAATTCTTACGTTCTTTTTCCTTGGTGGTACCGCTTCCAAACAAATTTTCAGACATGAGCACCTATTCCTGAGAACCAATTTTACATAGATTGTGCTGCAAGTACAGGAATCCCTGGGTATCTTACGTTGGGTGCTTGAGCCCTCCTCATCTGTAGCTTCTAACACTGGAGAATTTGGAGGTGGAAAGAAGTTGAGTTCTAGATGTCATTTTTCGTTTTTCCGTAGTAGCGTGACTCTCAGCACTCAATTAATTCCAGAGTGATATAGCTTGATGTGTCATTTTCCATGCTCGTCATTTCATTTGTACTCTTCAACTCCAGTCTTGTTCTTTTGGAATAGGAGATATCCCATACTTCTCAGAATTCTAGTGTTCGCATTTGTGTGTGTGTGTGTGTGGTTTTTTTTTTTGGCTGCTATGGATAAATGATGATTTAACCACTTGCAATAATGTTGTTGCACAGTAGTTACAACTTACAATGCATTTCATGAATAGATCTTAACTGCAAAGCATCTGTCATTCGTTTTGTAACACATGGATAAAAAATATCATATTATCTGATAAAATTGACAGCAAACCAAATGATATAATATCATTCATTTGCCACAAAATGAATGATAAATACACTAAATCTTCGGTGCATCAACTGTACATGCCTAGATTTCGCATTCAAGAAGCCAATTTTGTCCTTTTGGACACAGGCAAAGGTTACTAATTATATATTCATAATTTCATATACTTATTATTTTAGCCTGCTAGCAGCCTGACTTAAAGCCTGTTTAGATGAATTTTTTTAGAAGTTATATTTTTCAAAAAAAGAAGAAGAGTTTTTACTCTAAATAAGTGTTTGGATGTTGGTTTAAAAAAAAATCAGAAGTCAAAAAATAAATATATTAAATCTTATTATTTTTTAACTAATATTTATGGCTTTTAAAAAATGAAAGTAAAAATTTTAATATTTTTCTTAAAATTTAAATTTGCCACAATTTCAATGTCAATCAATTCCATCACACCCCTTACCACCACCACCACCACCTTCACCATCAAATCTATTATTATTATTCTAATTATAAATTTCGTTTTCCATGATTTGATTTCATATATTGTTTTTAGTAATTTTTTATATAAAAAATAATTTTAAATTTTAATGTTTAAATAATTTTTTTGATTACAAATATTTTTCAATTACTATATTTAAATGCAAAAATAACTTTATTTTTTAATAGAAATCCTTATAAGAGAACAATACATAAAAAATTATTTTTCTTAAAAAGCCATACAGTTGATGCCTATGGTTGCAGCTCTACGTCTCATTTACACAAACACTTCTGAACTGCCTTATATGGTAATGATTTTGGCACGCGATAGAACGAAATCAAGGCCTCTTGATTTACTATGGTGAGGAATCATCTTCCGTTTGTGTCAACCTGCAAAAAGTGATCGATTGTTAGTAGTTATTAGCAGGTACCTTTGATAATTTATCAATGTAAGTCGAAAGAATTGAAACAAGTATGGAAGAACAACACTAGTCTGATCTAAAACGAAGTCAACTCAAAAATATTTTTTTATTTGTAAAAAAAGTAATAAATAAAATTTAGAGGATTTTTTTAAATAAAAAAAATAAAGCTTTTATTTTGGAGAATCATACTAAGGGGTGTATTGGATTGAGATTTCAAAAGATTTTAATGGATTATTTTTGGACAAAAAAATCCATTGATATTTAATTAGAATTTTAAATGATTGAAAAAAAGTCACATGGTATTCTTTTAGGATTTTAAAAGATTATTTCAAAGTCCGACCAAATCCGTTGTTATTCAATCAAGATTTTAAGTAAAGAAAAAATAATCTTATGGTATTAAAAAATATGACGATTTTAATGAATTTTCTATGGTTCGCTTTTTCTGCCGTTACTGAAGATAAGTTATCTGCAGTAAGCCCAATACGACGTCATTTTGGAGCGATAATCATGGTGTTTTCGTAATTTTAATTTATTTCAGGGTTATAATTGTCTTTATATTTATAATTTTTTAAGATTTCAATACCAAAACGATGTTGTTTTGGGAATAAATGCAGATAATTTATTTGCATTAAATGCAGAAACATTTTTCCCATTTTCTATTGGTGTGGATTTCGTGAGACTTTTTATTGATAAATATTGCAGTGTCTTCTTCCTTGTGCTAGTTGACCCGCTCGAAATCATGTTCCATCATAGAAGCTTCGTTAAAGCTCAAAAACAATAAATTTTTGAGCGATTTTCATAACAAAACAACCCAGAAACAACAAATCAACAAGATTCTAATATAATCTATCTCAAAAGCAACAGATTTTTGAGAGATTTTAAGAGTTTAAAAAATGATTTTTCAAGCTACGGGACACGATTTTTTTTTGGCACAAAATGTGTGATTTTTGTATTAAAAACAATATAAAACAATGAGAAAACAACAGAGGAACATAAATCCTCAAACCAATTTTTGTTTTACATCAATGAAACAATATCAATTTAAAGAAAGATTAAAACTTTCATAATACGAACCCTATATTTTCTAACAATACATTCATCAACGAAATTCATTCGCTATAGAAAATGATTTCAAACATTTTTTGTGTCAATAGATAACTAAAGACTTATTTTTCAAAAGCCTTAAAGCAATTTAAGGTTTCAATGTTTTGATTGAAAATAATTTGATAAATTTTCTAAACTTTCATGTAATAAAACCCATAAATTCAGATTCAAAATTTTCTTAAAATACTCAACGAAAACATTTATATGATATATGGTTAGAAAACTCTCATCACGTAGAACAAAAAACTCAAAGTTTCCAAGATCAATTGCAAAAAATTTCAAACAAAATTTTATCATGATCTTTAGGTTCTATATGCAAATTTAGAACTATTTTAATAAATAAAAAAATGTGGGTCTTATAATCATATATGTATAGCTCTGATACCAAATGAAGAAAATAATTTTCAACCTATCTGTCAACCCCAATAGCAGGAATAAGAAAATGTTAATGATTGGAGGACTAGTATAACTTTAGATATGTGTAGTTGTTGCTTAGTAATTTTGATTGTTTGTGAAAAATTATATTAAATTTTACTGATTCAGAAATTTATATTATGTTTTACTTTTTTTATTAATATCATTACATTTCTTTGTTAACTTTATTATTGACTCTTGTAATCAGTGGCGGACCTAAAGAATTTTATTTATGTCTGCATATTTAAGGGCAATGCCCCCGAAATTATTTTTAAAGAAAATTTCAAGTGTATTAAAAAACAAAAGAACATAAACAAGAAAAAAACAATAAAACTTCAACTTAGCGTAAAAAAAAAATAGTAATCAAGAGCCAACTAAGTTGTTATAATAGAACAATTACAAAGTATTCTTTGATTCTTCATTCCTTAAAAATATTGCGTTATATCTTCATCATCAATTTTTTCAATTTTATTTGTTAGTTGTTTCTTAGATATAATCGGGTCCGTTTGCTGGTTAGGGTTATATAGGAAACCAAATTTTGTTTATGATGATATATTGAATATTGCAGTTATTTTTAATGTTAATGTTAACATTTAATACTGAATCCAAATAAATTTAAGATTAAATAAACGAAAAAGAAATAATCAATTAGAAAAAAATTAGATATATAAAGAAAATAAATAAGTAAAATATAAAAAAAATTGAGTAATAAATTATTTTAAAAAAATTTCTAATTCAGAAACGAAAGTCCCCGTGAAAATAGAATAATATTTTATTCAAAAAACAGAACGCCTTTTTCTATTTCGCAAAACATGAAGCCACCTCCTCCATTTATAAATGAAACTCAATGTGAAAAAAAATTTCCCCACAAATTTATGTCTGCAAGTGCAGACAATTGCACACATATCGGTCCGCCCCTGCTTATTACAATATTCAAAAAAAAAAAATTAGACGCAAGGGCGGCGCTTTTTGCGCCAAGAGTGACGCCTTTTGCGCCAACTATTTAAGAAATAAGAGCGCATTTTGCGCCAACTCTCTAACAAGTGGGCGCGCAAAGAGCGTAGACATATATATGTTTACGGCGCGTTTTGCGCCAACTCTCTAATAAACTTGGCGCAAAAAACATGGACGTATATATATATATGTGTGTGTGTTTACATATATACATAATAATAATAATAATAAAAAGAAATAAGTAATTAAATATTAAAATAAATATATATAATATATAATATGTTAATAATAAAATAAATGATAATAATAATATTATAATAATATAAATATTGATAAATAAATATATTACAGAAACTAAATAAAACGTATTACATAACGTGGAATCACCTGATGAAAGCTTACGAAAATTCTTCTAGAAACTGTTAACGTGGATAGTTATCATCTCAATAGCAATCATTACTCAGTTTCAATTTAACTAGTTCGTTCAAATCTAACGAAATGCAACTTAAACTGTAAGCAAGCCTCCTTGTATATATATATACATCGCTATCCATAAGAAGAGAAAAAGAACAGCGAGAAGAGAGAAAAAGAAAAGAGAGAGACAAAGAGAGAAATCAAAAGAAAGAAGGAAAGCGACGAGACAGAAGGTAATATTGGGTGATGAAAAATGTTCTCTCATTTTTTTTATATAGAAGATTTATTTACAAGCTTGTGTCGTTTTGCCAAACTCTTCTCTCTATTTATTCTGTAGTTCAAGTTTATTTCGTTACCGTAGTTGATTTTGTTCGGTGATTTCATTTCTTACAATACCTTTAGCTCCTTTTAAATTTTATTTCTTTTCACCTACTGGAGTAATTAATTGGTACCAAAATAATTACGAAGAGAATGTGTAAATTTAACTGATGAAGACTGCTATGAACTGAACCACAGAGTGTGGGTTCAGATGATTATAGGGTAAGGGACGCATTATCGTGGTTTGAGCTCCTCTACAATAAATCTTTCATATGCAGAAAATCACAAAGTTGGAAAATTATTTAGCTTTAGTTAAATATTACACAATGTATTATTTTATTTTATTAAATTATCTAAGAGAATGGTATTTTTCGTTATTACGGTTGGAAATGGTTATAGTTAGAAACCTCAATATTACTGAGATTTATCTCAGGTGTGTTTGTTTTTATGCTAACCTTTCCAAAAAATCATAATGCCTAGTCTAAGCTTAGCAGGAGAAGGATGGAGTATCAATATTTACTCTTACGAGGACCGCATGAAGTTTTATATTGTAGTAGAAAATCAAGGAGCTGCTTCAATATTTTATGCTGAGAGTGTGGAGACCTACACCTATAGACTAGATTATGATAAGACTTGTGTATTGTATAATTATGTAATGCCAGTATGTAAGATATAAACTGAAGTGATGTAATATTTAGTAGACTCTAGGACCTATGTAAAATAACTTCCTTTTGTAATAAAGTAATT